CAGGCCTTCGGGCAATTAGGTTAAAAGGACAACTGACAATGTTGACTATGGCTTGGAAGTGGATTATGGGTAAGTTAAATGGAGTACTCAGTCATAGTATACGACTAGATAAATGGCCACCAGACTGGTAATAGCGCAATGGACTGTAAGTATACTGTTTTCATCTTTATGTCTTAATGTTTATGCTTTTAACTGTTATAATTGCTGTTTTGTATTTTATTATGCGGCATCGAATTGTTGCCAATTGGAAGCTGCCCTGAGTTGCCCCGCCCCCACCCCAAGGGGTTGAGAAGGGCGGGGTAAAAGTGTTCGAAATAATTAAATACATAACCAGGGCAACGAGGAGACTAAAGTCGTGGTGGTGTGTGGAGACGAGGTTTGACGTTTTAAATGTTTTTACTTGAGACACTTTTTGACAAAAAGGAGTAACTCATGATGACCCCCACCAGAATCCTTTCTTCCAATATCTTCAGCCGCCTTCTTCTGAGGTAAATTTTCTTCTCAATAAATGGACTTGAGTCTTGATATTTATTTAAGGATTCGCTGACTTGCCTTTTTCTCCCTTCCGCTTTCCCCTGAGCTCACGGGCTAATTCCTAATTTAAAGAGGCCCAACTGACTCTGTAAACACGCAGGCTGAAGACTTAAACCCCCGGGTTCAGGGTCTCCACACACCAGAACCCAACTTCCACTCTTGTCCGCTGACTAAAAGGAACGCACTCTTTCCAAACGCCTGCCCCGGCCGAGTGGCAGTTAGCTCCGCCCCTTTGGCTTCTCTAACTTGGACACATTCTCACAGCCGGTTCCGTCGCTATGGCAACGCCTCAGCTCAGGTGACACATCAGCTGGCCTGCACTTATATCGTGACATTAATCAACATTTATGAAACATACATTATAATTAGCTATTTCGTTACGGCCTCTAACCAATGGCAGATAGCAAGCCACACGGCAGAGAAGGACGGGCACATACAAGCCGCTCCCATCCTTCTCTCCAGATTCCGTCCCTGTCACGCCATCTTCTCTGTTGTCTTCACCCTTTAGATCATTGTGTCTATTAAGAACTGTCTCATGACACACTGGAGGTAAGTGTCATGCATTCCTATCCATCTTTTTCTACACGACAGTCAGGAGGTCACATGAACCCCAAAAACCATTCCGTGGCCGACCCCTCCCTCCCTGCCGAGGAAGAAGCCCTTCCTTCTCTTCTCACCCTGTGGGTCTCTCCCCAGATGCGTTTTGGCCTTCACCTCCCAGAAATCCTCACAACTGGTCAACTGGCTGGGATTTCTGGAGTTGTAGGCCACAACACCTGGGGAGAGACCCACAGGGTGAGACCCACTGCTCTAAGCTAAACACACCCAGCTCTTTTGAGACATTCCCTACAGTCCGTCTCTGGAGATATTCTGGCTTATCAATATCCGTCTTGAGTTGTGCTAACTGGAGACAGAGCAATTGCAGGTGAGTTCTGAGCAAAGCAGGAGAACGGAGGCTGTGACTTCCTCGGACGTAGACACCACGTCTCCTCTTGGCACAGCCTAGAACCACGCTGGCATTTGTGGCTGCCACATCACACTCTGGTTTTTTCTCTCAAAATAATTTTTATTCAAAGGCAAGAAAGAAAATCATGTTTATGCAAATTACAATTTGGGAACTTTTGAAAAGGAATCCTTAACAAACATGAAAGACTGAACAACACACAACGGCATAATAAGAAGAAAACTAAGAGAACAACGGATCAACACAACTCTTGCCGCATGCCAATTTTAATCTGTATTCACTCACTTTAAATGCTGTTCTATATTTACTCTTCCGTTTCTAAATATAGTAAACTCATTCCTAAAACGCACAATAAACAAATGTCCCCTCATTGTTATAACTCGTGAATTATTAGTAGGTCCCAATCTTGTTTCATAGAATCCTAGACTTGGGAGAGACCTCGTGGGCCATTGTCCAGTCCAACCCCATTCTGCCAAGAAACAGGAAAATTGCATTCAAAGCACCCCCGATAGATGGCCATCCAGCCTCTGTTTAAAAGCTTCAAAAGAAGGAGCCTCCACCACACTCCCTCCGGGGCAGAGAGTTCCACTGCTGAACGGCTCTCACAGCCAGGAAGTTCTTCCTCATGTTCAGGTGGAATCTCCTTTCTTGTAGTTTGAAGCCATGGCTCCACTGCGCCCTAGTAAACAAAGTTTCCGAGGTTCCACCTCAATCTTTCCTCCTTCCCCTATTGCCCCTTCCCACCCTAATCTCTCTTACTTTTCCAGAGACCCCCTTTCCACCTCATTTCCCCACTTTTTCCAAACACTCCAACCATTCCAACTTTTCCTCCGTTTCCTTTCCTTCTTTCTCACCCCCTTCCCAAGTCAGTCTTTCCCACTTTTTATTATTCATATACACACAGCATTTCCCCCAAAATGTATACTGTAGTTAAAATTGTATTCTATTATTATATCATTTATTATTTTACTCTATCACTATTACTACATTTATTATTTTACTCTATTGCTATTACATTTATTATTTTATTGTGTTATCATTATTTATTATTTTTCTCTAATTATTATTAATACAATTATTATTTTGCCCTATTTATTATTATTGGAGGGATACATAAGCACATTTACACTGAAGAAGGTTTTAATCAGAGTTACAGTCTTATCTTAAATTACAATTTTATGCAATTATTCAGAAACATTTAACCTATAGATGCCTCAATTAATGTAATTTTATTGCTATCTATTTTTATTCTCGAAATTTACCAGTAGCTGCTGCATTTCCCACCCTCAACTAATACTCAAGCCAATAAGTTTTCTCAGCTTTTGTGCTAAATTAGGTGCCTCGTCTTAAATTCAGTCAGCTTATACTCAAGTATATATGACATGTAGCTACTCCCCTGTGTGGGTCCTTTGATGGATACGCAGATATCCACTCTGACTGAAGCTCTTTCCACATTCCATGCATTTATGTGGCTTCTCCCCTGTGTGGGTCCTTTGATGGATACGCAGATATCCACTCTGACTGAAGCTCTTTCCACATTCCATGCATTTATGTGGCTTCTCCCCTGTGTGGGTCCTTTGATGGATATGCAGATATCCACTCTGACTGAAGCTCTTTCCACATTCCATGCATTTATGTGGCTTCTCCCCTGTGTGGATCCTTTGATGGGTACGCAGATCTCCACTCTGACTGAAGCTCTTTCCACATTCCATGCATTTATGTGGCTTTTCCCCTGTGTGAATCCTTTGATGCTTACGTAGAGTCCCACTTTCACTGAAGCTCTTTCCACATTCCATGCATTTATGTGGTTTCTCCCCTGTGTGGATCCTTTGATGGGTATGCAGACTTTCACTGCGACTGAAGCTCTTTCCACATTCCATGCATTTATGTGGCTTTTCTCCTGCGTGAATCCTTTGATGCTTACGCAGAGTCCCACTTTCACTGAAGCTCTTCCCACATTCCATGCATTTATGTGGTTTCTCCCCTGTGTGGATCCTTTGATGGGTATGCAGATTTGCACACAGACTGAAGCTCTTTCCACATTCTATGCATTTATGTGGCTTCGCCCCTGTGTGGGTTCTTTGATGGATATGCAGATATCCACTCTGACTGAAGCTCTTTCCACATTCCATGCATTTATGTGGCTTTCCCCCTGTGTGGATCCTTTGATGCTTACGCAGAGCCCACTTTCACTGAAGCTCTTTCCACATTCCATGCATTTATGTGGTTTCTCTCCCTGTGTGTTCTTTGATGGTATACGCAGATGTCACAACTGAAGCTCTTTCCCATTCTATGCATTTATGTGGCTTCTCCCTGTGTGGGTTCTTTGATGGATATGCAGATGCCACTTTCACTGAAGCTCTTTCCACATTCCATGCATTTATATGGCTTCTCTCCTGTGTGAATCCTTTGATGCTTACGCAGATTCCCACTTTCACTGAAGCTCTTTCCACATTCCACGCATTTATATGGCTTCTCACCTGTGTGAGTTCTTTGATGTCTAGTAAGAGAACTTCTCCCAGTGAAACATTTCCCACATTCCATACAGTTATGTCGCGTCTCCCCTGTGTGTGATTTTGACAAGGAATTGAGATTTTCCATTCTTTTACATTTATGATTCAAATATTATGCCAGAAGGTCACAGATATGTTCTCCTGATTTCCTCTTCTCAGTCTTTGTATTGCTCTAGTCCATTTGAACAAATAAATTTCCAAGCCCCACTTTTTACAGCACAATCCTCCCTTTTTTTCCTTGAATACACAGCTATGTAGCTCGAAATATAACTTCTCCAACTTATTTCTTGTGAGTGCTGTGTATTTTAATTTCTGACCTAAGTCAAAGGGAAGGTTCATTCAGAGGTTACCTGCCAGAGAAATGAGAGGAAAATCTTATCAGGATCAGAGCACAGAAATATCTCACTGAACAATAAGAACAATAGCTTAGTGCTGTAGCCAATGCCAGAGAAGAAGGGAGAAAGAGCGGTCCTATTGAGAAGAGCCTTGGCCTGCTGAGAAGTACTTTAACCCTTGCCCTTCGGAAGCTTCAGATGGTCCAGCGCTCGGCAGCCAGGTTGCTAACAGGAGCGGCACTCAGGGAGCATACCACTCCTCTGCTGAGCCAGCTCCACTGGCTGCCAATTCGCTACCGGGCACAATTCAAGGTGCTGGCTTTAGCCTATAAAGCCCTAAACGGTTCTGGCCCAGCTTACCTCTCTGAACGCATCTCCACCTATGAACCGACTAGAACATTAAGATCGTCTGGGGAGGCCCTGCTCTCGATCCCGCCTGCGTCACAGGCGCGTCTGGCGGGGACGAGAGACAGGGCCTTCTCAGTGGTGGCCCCTCGGCTATGGAATGCCTTGCCGGCAGACATCAGACAGGCACCTTCGTTGCTGACGTTTCGGAGAATGGTTAAGACCTGGCTTTTGAACAAGCATTTGGCTAAGCAATGCAACCAATCAAGGAAGACGGTAAATGGAACATAGGAACGGCACAAGGACTATGAGAACGGATCTGATTCAACTGAGGCGTTATATATGTTGTTTTGTTGATTTGTCCTGTCTGATTGTTAATTGTTGTGGATCGATGTGTTGTTCCTGTTGTTGCACTGTTATGTTTTTAATTGCACTGTAAACCGCATTGAGTCGCCTGTCAAGGGCTGAAAAATGCGGTATAGAAGTGAAGCAAATAAATAAAATAAATAAATAAAAACTTATCAGGATCAGAGTACAGAAACATCTCATTGAACAATTTTTTTCCTGACTCTCTCTTTCTATGCAGTGCGTTCCCTGCCCCACGTTTTTAAAGCAAGGAACCTGGAGACATGGAGAGCACATTCAACCACAAAGTTCCTTCACATAATGCATTCTTACAAAACCTGTACCACAAAGGTGTGAAACATCAGGCAGTACAAACAATGAGAAAAACAAAGAAAAATGCAAAATTCTATACTGACACCATTGTGAGTGCGGTGCAATTTCATTCCAGAAGTCAGGCAACGGGAAGTGTTCTTCACAAGGTTCATTTAGAAGTTACCTACCAGAGAAACGAGAGGAAAATCTTATCAGGATCAGAGCACAGAAATATCTCACTGAACAATAAGAACAATAGCTTAGTGCTGTAGCCAATGCAGGAGAAGAAGGGAGAAAGAGCGGTCCTATTGAGAAGAGCCTTGGCCTGCTGAGAAGTACTTTAACACTTGCCCAACAAAGAGCAAGCCCTGCAAAGAGGGGAGAGTGGCCCACGATTCTCGGCAGGAGATTACTTTCACTGCAGTGTGTTCAGAGTGTCATCCAATCTTTGCAAAGGAAGACTTCTAACAATATGGTCAGTGCAGAAAGAGCTCAGGTTACAAAGCGTTTCCTGCCTAGATCCCGCTTTCTCACATCCCAACTCAGAACTTGAGTGACCACCTCTATGGGAAGACCATCCCAAGTGATCCGTCTTGGGAGAAAAATACTTCATTTCTTCCAACTCAGGAAAAAATATGTTCCTGCTCCCCCTTTTCCCTGCAGTGTGATCTCTGCCCCACGTTTCTAAAGCAAGGCACGTGGAGACATGGAGAGCACATAAGGCTGCAGAGCTCTTGACATATTGCATTCTTACAAAACCTATACCACAAAGGTGTGAAACATCAGGCAGAACAAATGCAAAGAAAAAAAACAAAGCAAACTTCTACACCAAGACCACAAAAATGGAGATAGGGATGCAGAAGCACAGGGTGGAAGGCACTCAGCCTAGTTAGCAGTACACGAGAGAAGGGGGTAGAGGGAGGATGGGTGGGTGGATGGACCTCCAGTGCTAAAGATGATGTTGTGCTATGGCTCAAGGTGTAGGAGGGACGCTATCAAGTTCACCGCATCCATCTCAGGCCCCTCTTTGGCCCTCAGAGCCCATTTGCAGGGGTTTCATTGAGGATCACCTGCCAGGTGAGCTGAGGCTGTCACCTGGGTAGTGCCAGGCTTGTTTCCCAAGCAGGACATTGCATAGCTTGTGCCACCAGGTAAATGGTCCCCCAATTAACCAGAGAGTTTGTTGATCACATCCACAAGTACCATGGCTTTCTCCTCACAATAACTGCAGATTGCGGGGCCCACTTTGCCTCCTGGTTTTGGGGAGGGCTCTTCAGTCTCCTGGGAGTACGGCCAGCTCTGAGTCCTGCTTATTGCCCTCCAACGTATTGGCCCAACTGAGAGCGTCCAGCAGGTGATCCATTAACGTTTGCATTGCTGCTTTAATTGCCAACAAGGTGATGGGTTGGGCCTGCTTATCTGCTTACCTTTCCTGGGATGGCTCAGAACAGGCTTCTAATTGGCTTCAACTGTTTATTTTAAATAGTGTCAATGTTTAATTTTAATGTGTGCGTTTTTCAGCTTTAAATGATATCCTGTGTTGCTTTTATTGTTATCAGGAAGCAGCATAGATGAGATGATGGTGATGATGATGATGATGATAACAACTCTGTAAATTGCAAGGCTGGGCCTTCTGTGCCTTCTGAATCCCTTTGGCCTTTGCCGACCCTTGCGACCATCCCCTTTGACCCCTGGCATGGCCAGATGGGGCACGGAGGGTCCACGATGCCTGGCCTCGCATAGAAGAGGCACGGGAGGAGGAAAAAGGAATGGGCAGAAGGCACACCGAGGGATAAAGAGGGGCAAAGGGGGATTTGAACCCTCTGCAATCTGTAGAGTTGCCTAGAATTTTTAGAAGAACAAGGCTCCCAAATACATTGTTCCTTTTGTGGTCAAAAGCGCAATCCATTCTCTAGCTGCCGAACTGGACCTCCTCCAAAATGATATCCCTTCATCCAGATCAAGCTGGCTTTCTGTCAGGCAGGATTCCATAAGGAGAGCATGAAGTCTAATGCCTCAGAGTCAGTCCTTTGGGGGGAGGGGGGGTCTTCCATTCCCCTTCCCTCCCTGGTCTGAATCAAGGACCCTCCCACCCTCCTCTTCCCCCCTCCAAGAGGATCTTTGGGGACTCCTTTGAGCTCTACAAGTCATGTGGCCTTCCTCAGAGCATCCAATTTGGCAAACAATATTGACGTATGGATGTCTAATTAGAAACACTCGAAATTCAAAGACCTCAACTGGGACTTCTGGTTTAGGAATGGCAGCAGACTAAATGAGGAAAAGCTCTGTCCGTAGTCGTGAGCAAGAGTAGTGCCTCCAACGAGCTCAAAACGAGGGCAGGAGTTCACCTGGCCACACAGAAATAAGTCAAGGAGAAGTGCAGAGCTTTGCAAACTTGGCAACAGTGGTGTCGATGGGGGAAGCTGTGAGTTTTGGGGGGTCTCCTGGGGGATTGCACCTCCCTAGATCAGTGGTTCTCAACCTATCGATCCCCAGGTGTTTTGGCCTACAACTCCTAGAAATCCCAACCAGTTGACCAGCTGTTAAGATTTCTGGGAGTTGGAAGCCAAAACTTCTGGGGACCCCCAGGTTGAGAACCACTGCCCTAGATGGATCGCTATTGGGGGGAAGCAAGGAGGAGAGACATGCACGCATATCATCATGTTTTCAGCTCTACTGCCAACCCCCGACCCACTTTCCCAACCTGATCCCCTTCCCTCAAAATCTCCTTTTGGAATCGAAGACTATTTAGAGGAGGAAGAGGAAAGGAGACAACGAAGGAGTTTGATTATAACGATACAATACCCTGTTAACCTATTGTATACAAACAGGGATCTCTAACTGATATAGACAAAGAGATAACCCAGAACAGAAGGAAGGAAGGAAGGAAGAGGAGGAGAACCAACAATGAATGGACAAGCTTGGTTTTTGAAACAGAAGATAGAAGTGGAGTTCTTCTTGTGACGCAAGAGGCCCAGTCTCAGTGCCATCCTCATCTATATCAATAAAAATGTAGTATTGGTTTGTGGGATTAACATAACTCAAAAACCACGAGACGAATTGACACCAAATTTGGACAGAATATGCCTAACAACCCAATGTATGTCCTTCACTCAGAATATTTGGATTTTGTCATTTGGAAGTTGTAGTTGCTGGGATTTATAGTTTCTTTATAATCCAAGAGCATTCTGAACTCCACCAATGATGGAATTGAATCAAATGTGGCACGCAGGACTCCCATGAGCAACGGAAAACACTAGAAGGGTTTGGTGGGCATTGACCTTGAGTTTGGGAGTTGTAGTTCACCTGCATGCAGAGAGCACTGTGGACTCAAACAAGGATGGATCTGGACCAAACTTGGCACAAATATTCCATATGCCCAAATAGGAACACAGATGGAGTTTGGGGGAAATAGAACTTGACATTTGGGAGTTGTAGTGACTGGGATTTATAGTTCACCTACAATCAAAGAGCATTCTGAACCCTACCAACAACAGAATTGGGGCAAACTTCCCACAGAGAAACCCTATACTTAAGGCCATCTAGTCCAACTCCCTTCACCAGGGCAAGAAAACGTAATCAAAGCCCTCCTGACAAAGAGCCATCCAGCCATAGATACAGATAGGTATATATGATTCACGCAAACGGAGATATAGTATCATAGATTTAAAGGGACCCCTAAAGAAGGACAATGATATGTCGCATGTTCCAGAGTGGGCAAACCAGACAATCTCCACATCAACACTGACAAAGAAACAGCAAGAAGTGCTGTTTACCCACAAGTATAAAGACATTACGTATATTAGAAACCAACACTTTCTAATTTATTTTCCAGATCTCCAGACTGGGCCACAGCAATGCCTGGCAGGGGACGGCTAGTGATTTGTCATTTTCTCGATCAGAGAGAAAAGAGGAAGGAAAGGAGGAAGGTATTTCAGCGTGGCCTTGAATCGAAGAGAAGTCAGCACAGCTCACTGATTTATCAAACATCCTCCTGAAGCATTGCCAAATAGAGGAGCTTGTTTGCAAAAGACATTCGTTTGAAAACTTACCAAAATACGACATCGATTGGATAAAAGTGTTTACATAACAAATCCAACGTTCAGTTGAAACCTCCTAAAATGGAGAAAGGAAAACAACATAAGAAGATGTTGGCTGAAGGTACAGAAGTGATGAAACCACTGGAAATTCTGAATGGATTAATCCCTAGTGCCAATGGCAAGCTGGATCAACTAAAGGCCATTTTGAAGAGATCTCTAGTGGCCCCCAAAGAAGGACAATGGAAACTGGGAAAGCAGGATGAGAAGGGGGAGCCAAGCAAGAAGGAAAAATGGAAGGAGAAACGGAAGGTCAACAAAGGGCCACGAAGAAGGAATCCAGAGGGAACCAGGACGGAATGGACGCCAGGCAGAAGTCCAGCTGGAACAAGAGAGGCCTCAAGTCAAGGCGCGAGAGGCCTGCCATTTCCCGTCCTGGCTTCCCAGGGCAGAGAATTCAAACTGCGTGTCCACAAGCCCTCTATCCCAGGATCTGATCCCAGGTTATTTGGCTGCATGGGCTCTTATCACCCAGCTCAAAGCAGAGGATGTGGGGTCAGATCCTGGGAGAGAGGGAAGTGTGGATCCAGGCCGAGGCTTCAGCATTCCAAGCTGGGCAAAGCCAGTCCCGTGAGCCTCGGTTCCACCGACACGGCTCCCAATGCCTTCCTTGAAGAGTGTGGAAGGCCACTCTCTCCCTGTCTCCTATCTGTGGGCACACCAGGCGGGTCTCACTCTTCACCCTGGCCTCCGAATTGGGGGAAGGTGCTCCCTCCCTCCCTCACCAGCCTCCTTCCTCGGGCCCACTCCTACCTCCCCCCATCCTTAAAGGGTCTGCTTTGGGCAGGGAAGGGAAGGGAGGGGGGCTTCAGGGGGGAGGAATGAAGGGCTGCCGAGTGCCTGCCTGAGGGAGGGAGGGAGGGAGGGAGGAGGCCCCTTTGGCACTGCCCTCTCGCCCCAATGATGACCGCAGGGCACCAAGTGCTGCTCTGGGTCAGAGTGAAGAGAGAGGGGGTCGGAAGATGGCTCCACCTTGTCTCCTGTGGTATTCAAATAATATAATATAATGTAATGTGTAAGCTCACAGCAGCCGCCCCAAGAATGACACAGGATGCCGATCCGTGATCAATCATGAAACCTTTACTACTGGATATACATACACAATGAAAAGCCAGGATTGGCATGCAGCCGCAATTCAACCCTTATATACCCTCCCCCACATTTGAATCCCCTTTTCCCGCCGTCCGCGGGTCCCGCTCAATATTCCCCGCCAACTCCCAACTGCTCCTCCCAAGGCCACCAGCTGCATATCCTTATCGGCTCTCCATGTCAGGATTCTGGTTTTTTGCGCCAATGTCCAAGGCCAGGAAACCAAGTCCTGACACGAACCCATTGGTCCATTGTGTCTTAGGGAGCTTCCAGAGAGGATGTAACGAGAGCATCTGCTTGTCAGGTTTTATTGGATTCCTTTCAATTGGTTCAGCTTGAGGATGTGGACAGGATCCTTGGAGAGGTGCGACCCACCACATGCATCCTAGACCCCTGCCCTTCCTGGCTGATCAAGGAAGCCAGAGGGGGTTTGGCAGAGTGGGTGAAGGTGATGGTTAATGCCTCCTTACAGAAAGGAAAATTTCCAGCGAGCTTAAAACAAGCTATTATAAAACCGCTGTTGAAGAAACCATCACTGGATCCCACTCAATTCGACAACTATCGGCCAGTTTCCAATCTCCCCTATTTGGGCAAAGTCATGGAACGTGTGGTGGCAACACAACTCCAGGGGTTTCTGGTAGACACTGATTATCTAGATCCGGCACAGTCTGGCTTTAGGCCGGGACATGGTACTGAGACAGCCTTGGTCGCCTTGGTAGATGATCTTCGCAGGGAACTGGACAGGGGGAGTGTGTCCCTGTTAGTTCTGCTGGACCTCTCAGCAGCCTTCGATACCGTCAATCACGGTATCCTTCTGGGGCGCCTCATAGACATGGGGCTCGGGGGCACTGCCTTGCAGTGGCTCCGATCCTTTCTTGAGGGACGGTCCCAGAAGGTGTTATTGGGTGACACCTGTTCGGCCCCACAACCGTTGTTGTGTGGAGTCCCACAGGGTTCAATCCTGTCCCCGATGTTATTTAACATCTACATGAAGCCGCTGGGAGAGATCATTCGGAGTTTCGGAATGAGATGTTATCTCTATGCAGATGATGTCCAAATCTGTCACTCTTCTCACCTGTCACCAAGGAGGCTGTCCAGACCTTGAACCGGTGCTTGGCTGCTGTGTCGGACTGGATGAGAGCTAACAAATTGAAATTGAATCCAGACAAGACAGAGGTCCTACTGGTCA